AAGAGTTAAAGGAGGGTGTGTTGAATAGGGTAATACACCGGTTAAAGACTATGGATTTGTTTCACCAATTCTCCTTTAATGATACTTGGAGGAATTGGTCCATAGTAGCAAGGTGATCTTCCTTAAAGAATAGGGTGGTAGAAAGTTGGGTACCCCCTCCTAAAGGTTTTCTGAAACTGAATTTCAACGGGAGCAGTCAAGGCAACCCAAGCCTCTCAGGTTTGGGAGGAGTTGTGAGAAAAGAGAATGGAGAGACTGCTTTTCTACTTGGGTCCCTTGGGATTTGGGGTCTCTATTAGGGCATAATTACTAGCTGCCATTCAAGGAGTGTTTTCACATATTATCTAGGTATGGAGCAACTTTTGATTGAAGGGGACTCCATGTAGCAACTTTTGAATGAAGTCAAGAAGTTTAAGTGGCTAAAACATAATAGGTCTGTAAGAATACAATGGGCAGGGACATCAGCAAATGCATTAGCTGATTATCTAGCCAAGCAAGGGGCAAATAGGGAACTTTTGTTCTAGGCTCAGATGTAATTTGATACTTTTTACTTTGTACTTTGTCTGGAGAGGTCACAGCTCGCAATTCTCCAAGGGATGCTGGTATCAGTTTGATTCTATGAATTAATAAAATTTATCTTTACTTATCAAAAAAAAGAAGCTAGGGATGTTGAATGTTTCCAGTTGCATAATGGAAGTGTGGTGGTGGTCCCTGCAGTTCAGAAGACACCTGAACGATTGGGAGTTGGATGCTATGGTGGAAATTCCACATACATTGTACAGCATACAGGTGGAGAAGGGGAGATTGGATAGGAGATTGTGGCACTGGGAGAAGTCACGAAATTTTCAGTGAATTCTTTTTACAATCCACTAGTTGTTCCAGATGAGCAGTCAATTCCTGTCAATATCATCTGGAGTAAGAACAAGCCTTCAAAGGTAGACCTTTTTTTTGTGTGGACGACCTACCAACATAGAATACTCACATAGGACAATCTCCCATGGAAGGGTATGTCCTTGGATTCAGCAGACTGTGTTTTATGTGAAAGGCACTTGGAATCTGTGAAATACGGAACCTGTTTGGGGTAAAAAGATGCTGGCCGGGGTCAGTGGTAGAGTTTGTAAAGCATTGGAGGTCTGAGCAAAAAGGGAAAGCTGGCTTGGATTTCTTTTTTTGATAAGTAGCAGAAAATGTTTCATTAAAAAGCTGGCTTGGAATATAGTTCCTGCTGCGGTTTTTGGGTTCTTATGGCAGGAAAGAAACACAAGAAGTTCATGAGATTGAGAACAAAGGACGTGAACAGTGAGAAAGAGGTGGCTCAGTCCAGGTTCGAGAGGCATCCATGTGCTGGTGTTGGCATTGGCAGCTCGTTTCAAGAGGCAAAGGTAGTTAGAAGGTCGGAGAGGACAGGGATAAAGCCTGCAATCCAATTAGGTATGACTATTTGATTTGGGTCTTTTGTAGTCGTGGTTCCTTTCTTCTGACCAGAGTTTGGGGCAACTTGAAGGAGGAAAAGGAGGAAAGAAAGCAAGTTTTAAGGGAAGAAAAGAGGGGAGAGGTAAGAGGGGAAAGATGCACAAAAAGAAGGAAGAAGGGAAGGATATTGAAGGGGGTGAACTCAGGAGAGGAGAGTAAAGGAGAGAGCACTGAGCGGCAGTGCTGATGCTACTGATAATCTGTTAAGAATTGAAGTCCAAGTCGGCAGACTTGGAGTGGACTTAGGATGGAGGAGACTGGTGAACATGGGGATGAAGATGGGCCAGGGATGATGAAGGTCAGAGATTCAAAACTTTTTTCAAGACTAAAAGATGGTCTGATTGGTGCTGGTCCTAACTACAAACAAGTTTAAGAAAGTTTATAGGAAGAGAGGTTCTAGGGTCAGAAGCCTAAAGAAGAAACTTGATGAGAAAGAGGGTATCAAGACTCAAACTAGAGACGGGGAGGAGCTGCATTGGTATTCTTTTCCTAAGGATGGCATGGTGACTTGGTCGGAGGCAGAAGAAAAGAAGCCTAGGGGGGATCGAGAAAGCAAGATGACTCTAAATGATTCATTGACCATCAAGGTGGAGGAGAAAGGAGGAAGGATGGAGATTGACAATTTAGCAGAAAGGGATGTTAGGATTGGAATAAAATATCTTTCTAAAAAGGCAATTAAAGTTATAAAGTCATTATTTTTTATGTGAGAAATAAGAATTTAATACCCAACATGGACTTGTTGGGCTTGCCTCAAGGGGCGTGGTACAAAGGTGACTCATATGCAATATTCTTTACATTACAGTAGCTACTTGAAGTAATGCAATTGAGGAAAAAAAGAGATTATGGGTTTTACATGCTTGAAAATGCTTTATATGTTTGCTTCTATTTTTAAATTTTCATTTGAATACGCTTTACATGTTATGTTTATTTATTTTAATTTTAGATAATAGGTTTTTTATAACATTTATTTTAAAATTTAAGTTTATATTTTTATTAACAATATGTTTATTTTTTTACATTTTTTTGAATTTTCCGACTTTTTTATTTTTTAGCATTTTTTGTAATTTTGCGCCTTGCTTCAAAAAGGCGCACGCCTCGCCTTGCGCCTCAAGCGCAAATTGGCCTTGTGCTTTTAAAACACTGGTCATGGTCGGGGGGCTTCTTTTTGCTTTATTTTGAGTTGTAAGATTGAATTGCTCTGCTAATCATTGGGTTGGGTGTTATCTTAACACCTGTTCTGTTGTTTGTAATCTGATCTTTTACTTTATGAACTTTTCTTTTACCACCAAAAAAGAGAATGTTCAAGAACAAGTGCAGCTCTGTAGATGCAGTGTTTCAGAAGATTTTGGGAAAGATGTATTGATGGCTAGCTATACACAAATTGTTTCAAAATATAGGCTATAATCAGTGTTTTAAAAGCACAAGGTGCCAAAAAAAAACACACACACACAAGGGACAATTTGCAACTGAGGCGCAAGGGACAAGGTGAAAGACACACCTTTTCAAAGTAAGGCGCAAAAATACAAAAAAAAAGCCAAAAAATTCAAAAGATGCAAAAAATTAAAATATATATATTAAACATAATATTGATGAAACTATAAACTTAAATTTTAAAATAAATATTTTTAAAAAACCTATTATCTAAAATTAAAACACATAAACGTAACATGTAAAACATATTCAAATGAAAGTTTAAAAATAAAATCAAACATATAAAACATTTTCAAGCATGAAAAACCCACAACTTCTTTTTTCCTCAGTTGCATTATTTCAAATAACTAATGTGATGTAAAACATCTTGCATTCTTGATTCTACAAGCTGCCTTGTGTACCAAGCCCCTCAAGGCAAGCCCAAACAAGTCCATGTTAGAGTCTTACATTCTAAATCCTTATACCAAAAAAAAAAAAAAAAAATTTAATTGCCTTTTAAGAAGATATTTTACTAGAGAACCCCCTATTTACTAATGTTGTTCATTTATTCATCCTAGTAAAATATATTCTTAAAAGGCAATTAAAATTATAAAACCATTTTTTGTGTAATGATTAAGAATTTAAGACCCTAACATGGACTTGTTTGGGCTTGCCTCAAGGGGCTTGGTAGGGGGTCTAGGGTGGAGCTCCCGGCCCAATGCTAGGTTGAAAAAAGAACAAAAAGCACACAAAATTAAAAAGGTCCACGCCTAGGCTGAAGTGCAAGGCGTACCAGGCGTGTGCCTTTTGAAAGTGTTGCGCCTAGAGCCTAGGCAAGGCACATGCCTTAAAATGCACCTCGCCTGAGCACCTAGGCACGCCTTTTAAATCACTTGCTATAATAAATTTCTTGTACATGGAAATCTTTTTATAAAGTGGGGCTTGAAAATATAGTGCTGCAGGGGCAACTTTTGTATAGTCCCTGAGTACAGCTTTTGGTTGTACATGAGTTCTGTTTCTTTTGCAATTTCTTCACCATTTCTCACAAAAATGATAATTTTATTATAGACATTATTTTAATATAAAAATTATGATTTGAATATGCAATTTATGTTATTGTGTTATTTATCCTTTCCTAAGATTTTAAATTTTAAAACAATAAATATTTTATTAAATTATGTATAATTAAAAGTATTTCATAAAGGTAATTAGAAAGAAAAGTCGTCTACAATGATAAACTTAAAAATATAATGAGTTTAAAGAAAAAAGAATCATATTAAAACAAATATTTGGATGATACTTATGTACATGTAAATTGAAAACCTTATATCAATAAAATGAACAAAATATAATTCTCTGAAGACAACATTAAAAGTTTTAACACACTAGATGCTGCTTTGAGACATATTCCAATAATGTTTTGTGTTACCAAACAGGAAATAATAATAATTCAACAACTAATAATAATATTTCATGCTAGTACCCATAGAAATGGAAATAGTTTGTTAAGTATTAAAATATCTAGACATTTTAAACAATGGGCATAGCTAACCTAGAAGGTTTGGAAGAGTGTGCTTGGGTGCTAGATTTAAAAATTTCCACCTATATACTATGTTACCCAGATACAGCAAGGAAATCGTTGGATTTGGTATTAGATATGAAATTTAAACTAAAAGTTGAAGTATCCAATACAATACATCACCCTTGTAGAGTTATAGCAGTATCATAGCCCAAATATCTTAGGCTGCCTTCAAGGAACGGCAATCAATCAACAACAGTTATGGAGAGAMTRAAAAGAAAACCGTCTAGGTGGAAATCAAGCTATGAGAAGGAAATAACTGCACAAAAAAGCAAATACACTAGAAAAATAGGGTGTAAGTACCTCAAATATCCTTAGACATGATTCTCTTTTTTGAATTACTAGCCACCAAGCTAGAGATTCTTTAAAACAATAAATACTAATCCATTTTGACCAAAAGTGGTGTATATGAATAAGTAATGTATGTGGTTGAATTCTTCCACCACCCCGGCCCCACATGCAACTCATCCCATTACTTGATTAAAGGCAAAATGGAAGTCCTAATCAGTTAAACTAATAATGGAGACAGAACAATCACCGAATATCAAGATCCTGATCGCGCTTGTTTCTCAAATTGAAGTTAATACCCCCTAAATCATCCCTGCCTCCAAAAATTCCATTTGATTCACCAAAAAATGCATCAAACACTTCAAAAGGGTCGACCTAGAAAAAGATAAAAGAAAAAACAAGAAATGTAATATCACCAAATGCCTGCATCCTAATTAAAAATCATCTTAATGAATAAGGAAATATACATTCAGATGGTGTAGACGGCAGTAGTGTAGAAAAAACCCTTACCCCCTGTGAACTGAAACCAGAGCCATTATAGTCACCCTGTAAACCTGCCTCACCAAAGCGGTCATATAAAGATCTTTTCTCATCATCTGATAGAACCTACAGAAAGGTCCCGTTATCACRTGAAAAGAAAATGCAGAAATAGTAAGGGCATTCTAATGAATTGATTGTATCTTAGCACTATATACTCCAACTTGAAATGCTGCGCAACATTCAAAAATAACAAGGGCCTGTTAATAGCATAAGAACAAATAGAAACATAAAGTATGATTAAGCATGATTTATGATACAGAAGCAAGCATTTTTCAGTGCATCAAACAAAATATGATATGTCATACATACTATCAGCATGGTTCAAAGTATCGTATTGTATCTTTTGAAAACAATTCCGAAACGCCTGTTTCCAAGTGTTTCGGACCCCCAATTTTTTTTAATAATAAAAAGCATGCTAAAAACTTCCCAAAAAACCAAAATTTGAAAAAAAACTAAAAAAAAATAGAGTTTCAGCCGTTTCTAAGTGCTGATACAATACGGCCGAAACTCGTATCATATCGATACTTTGAACCTTGACTATCAAAGCTAAGCAAAGAGAAAAGGCATGAATACCTCATACGCAGCACTAATCTCCTTGAATTTCTCTTCTGCCCCTGGGCTCTTGTTCAAATCTGGATGGTACTATTTCAATAAAAAAAGAAAGACTACAGATCAATAAGACATCTAAGATAAGATTATTAGGAGAAATAAGGAGGGAAAAAGAAAAGGCGAAGTGTAGAATAAAGTTACTCCATTTTTTGATATTTGACCATGTTGGAGACTGTTGCATGCTGAAATTTTATTTAGAAACAATAAAAAAGCATATATTCTGCTTTCTTTGATATGGATGAATAGAATAAGAAAATAAGTGATGTGGCACAGTAATGATGTCACATYTTGAAAACTACCCAAGGAACAGGAAACTTGACTTAGGATGCAGTTATTATTTATAGAGCTATGAACATTTTATTTAACCCTTCTGTTACAATTAGCTCATTCTAAATAAATGCAATTTACATTATGCTTATATGAACTGATTATTTTAGAAACATGATTTTGACCATGGAAAAGAAAACTAGACAAACTAATTTCGCATCAAAACTGCAAGACAAATATCTAAATTTCAGGTTTTGCATGTCAGACAACTAATACCAGTCTTTGACTTTGATACCAACACACAAGTGAACATCCTTGCTACCTAGAAAATAACCAGCATATGCAAGCTTGAAGATCCATAAAGTACAGAGTAACAGAAATGATCATTAAGAAAAAAAGGGCAGCCCAGTGTRCAAGACTTCCACCAACTTGAACTAGAGGAAGGGGAAAGAAATCAGATAAAGCACAGATTATTGATGTGAAAAATTAAGGATCTTGGCACAGTAATGATGTCATATCTACCCCACCTACCTGGGATCTTAGGAGGGGTAGACTGGGTGCAGTCCTAACCTTATTAAACACAGTTAATAAGATTCTTAATCCAGACCTAGAACTGAACCAGTGTTAATCGAACCATTAACAATTAGGTTATTTTCTTAAGCAACCTTGTTAAACTCAGTTAATTTCTTGTAAAGGGGCATCCAAGTGCAGGATGTTATCTGTACACTGTGCAACAAAAGCACAGAAATCTCTAATCACCTCCTGATCCACTGTTTATTTACTCACTGGATTTGGGGGAATATGTTCGACTTGTTCAGGGCGAAGGTGTGCTTTCCACCTGATGTGAAGAGTTTTCTGTTTGCTTGGTGGTTAAAGGATCTAAGTAAGGCTGGTAGTGTGGTATGGACTATGGAACACTATTCCTGCAGCTGTGTTCTAGGCAGTTTGRCGTGAAAAGAATCAGAGAATATTTGAAGGGCATCAACAATCAAAAGAGGGAGTTCTTAAAAGTATTTCGGGCATGATGTGTTCGTGGTTGGCTAATCACTCACTTTTTAAATTCAGACACACATTTTTAGACAAAGAGCTCCTGTTTGGATAGTTTTCTGGTTTGTAATTGCCTGCTGGCTCAGTTTTAGGGTTTTGAGCTTCAGGGATTTTTTCCTTTAGCACAGTTTCTCATTGTACAAGGATATWGGCTGATTGTATATCCCTCTTATTTTTTCAGTTTAATATGTTACCTTACATATAAAAAAAAAATCTTGTGAACTTTTATCATGTTTTTTATGTAATAGATCTAAATGTTTGTGTTGGCCTACGCTTATACAATTGGRCTAGCAAATGAAAAGGAGAAAAGAAATCTAGAAGCTTATCCTAACACCTAGGTTAGTGGATTCTTTCAAAAGCTGTTGATTGCAGTCCACCAATAAAAATCCTTTTGGATGAATAATTGGCAATCTAAATTTGAACCAAACCAACCAACAATCTAAGTAGCTATGGATAAGAAAATAAGCACGATTGATATTTTCTGAGCAGAGTTATGACTACTCTTAGAGGTGTGTTCCATTGACAGGAACACATCTCAAAGAATAAATTCATCGAATCCACATGGCAGAATGGAAGTAAAAACCTATAAATTACAGAAAATAAGAAAAGATGGCCATAATACTATATATTAGAAAGAGAAATTAATTACAAACTGGTGAATCGCACACATATTGCGTGTATCAGCTTAACCATTGTCGCTGTTGTTCTTGTTTTATGTGCAAATACTGCACTAGACCTCAAAGTTTGCTTTTAGTTCCATAAATTAATTTTCATTTAATTACTTGTTAAAAGAGTAAAATTCTTCACACATCTTGGGTCTGGCTGTAAAGGTTTCAGTTTTAAATTGACTAAAAGTAACTTTTGAATTAGACTAATTAATTTAGTCAAGAATTTTCTTGTAGTTATTTACGTATGTAACCCCTTAGACTACACTTAACAGGTTCCATGGAACATAAGCAACTGAAAGAACAATCAAACATGCGACTAATTAAGCAAAATGACATTGTTAGACAAGGCAATTTCCTCGAAATAAATGAAATTATCATAAATATTAACAATGTTAATAGTGGTAAACAAACGGACCTTACGAGCGAGCTTTCTATAAGCGCTCTTAATCTCCTGCAATGTCGCATCTCTACTGAGATTCAACGTAGAATAGTAATCCGAACCCCCAGCGGCCCTAATTACGGTTCTTCGACTGCATTTCCGACGAACAAAGGGAAAACTAGGGTTCCAATTCCGTACTTCCCCGCGACGAAATATTGAATCTCCTGAACTTAAATGGAAGCTTTTAAAGGTGCGAGGTGAAGTTGATAACCCGAAATTCTTGAGCTGAGTTACAGAGTTGCAAATTAGAGGGAGCTTCGAAGGAATCGTGTATGTAGGGTTTACGTGATGATGGATAACCGGCATGGCCAATAGCAGAACAGCACCTTCTATGGAGTCGGAAAAAACTACCCGTGAACTCTGAAGTGAGACCACGACGGTAGAAGAAGTTCTGAAGAAGGCCTGAAAAACGATACACCGATAAACCTCCCCAGAACCCTTGTATTGTATTGAAAACCAGACGCATTATTGGAATAGGCCCACCTTAGAAAGGCCCATGGATCCAAGTAAGCAAGGCAGTGATGAGTGTAATAAATTATGGGCCATAGCCGTTCTTTGGGTTCTATAGAATAAAGCGCAAAGAGGCTGGAGCTATTTCAGTTGGTTCGCCCTCACATAAATCATAAATGTTGTCTCCATTTGTATTCTATCGTGAAGGTATCTGTTATTTTTCAAACATGGGGGATTAGTTTTTGCTAATAACCTTGGGGAAGGTAATTAATTAGTTACCATGGAGCTTCAATAAGATTGAATATATCATGTTTGTCAGGGATGATCAATTGATCATTTATGACCTAGTCCGGCTTACCTGGCTTGCAAATTTCCGGACCTGAGCAATTATATTTTTGTCAAATCCTCCATCAAGACTGTATATAATGCAGGTCGTGTAGCTAGAAGAAACTTAAAGGCTGCGTTTGGAAATGATACAAATATGTAAAGTGTAAAACGGTTCATATAAATTACAAAGTTGGATTAGTTTTGTATTGACAAATCTACTTTGTTACCAAACAAATTTTTAGCTGAATTTCAATAAAGCATATGCTTTTTTTTATCAAAAGCCCACTTGAATGCAAATTTATTTATTTTTTACTGATGTACTTTTACATCATATTATCAATGTAAATATGCATTGGTCTGTCATTTGTCAATGCATAAATGTAATGTTGCCAAACAAAGACAAAAGTGACGCAGAGTGAAAATTTACTCTGAACTGAAATTTACACTCCATTTGCATCGTTTCCAAACACAGCCTTAATATTTTACTAAATATATATGTGTGTGTATGTATGTATAGCATCTTATATATATGATATAATATTTTACTAAATATATTATATAATAATATAAATATAAGATGTAGGATATATATATATATATGGTATATAGTCAGGCCAAATCAAGTTTAGAAAAAACCCTGAATTGCTCCGCATAAATGGATTTAGAATAGGGCTTTTGGATATCATTGAACCAGGGCTGAACCACATAATTTTAGTGAGAACCAAGGCATGGAATCCACATAAATAGATTTAGAATATAAAAATAAAAAAAACCCTAATGTATCAATTTTGATTGAAATCGAAGCTTTGTACAGCAGTGAACCAGCCTTTTAAATGTTTTTGTTCAACTGAACAGCCCTGGCTTGATAGCTGATTCGAATCACAAACATGAGTCAGTCAAAGATGCGACTCGCATCGGCTCAATTTGGTCTGGGTTGGTTAGTTCGATGGGGTCAAATCAGATTGGGTCAAATTGGTTCAAGTTGTGGGTCAGGAGCCAGAAATTGCCAACTTAACTTGCTAAGTTGACTTGAGTAACTCACCAAATTAAGGAGACTGGATCTGCTCCTCACACAGGGCGCCTCACTCGCGCCTTACATGCACATCGTACCATGCATTGGGAACATATCCCGTATTTATAAGTTATTATTCACGGGAGATGTTCCCAATGCACGGTGGATGTGCATGTGAGGCGCCCCTATGTGAGGAGTAGATCCTGTTCCCAAATTAAGAGTAGCCCTCTCAAACCACCCATGAACTGTCATCTTCTCAAGCAATGGTTTGTGCTTAACCGAGATAGGGGAGCCCCGTTTCTCAGTCATGTGGCCTTCTTGGCCACTGTCGATCACCTAAGATTGATTTCTAGGGGTTGGCGACCCCAATTAAGACTAATTTCTAGGGGGTGACACTCCTATAGCCAATAATAAGCACCAAGTTAGTAAGGGCCTGTTCGTTTGCTTTGAAGTCTGACATCTGAAAATGTAATAATTACATTAAGAAGTATATTGGTATTGGTGAACTTTTCTTTCCTCTAAATTCTGAATGCAGAGAATGTTGTTCTTAATTTTGAATTCTAAATTCTGAAAACTATCAAATATCCATTTTGACCCCATATACGAGAGTTTTTGTTTGTCTTTTTGGGGTATCATTGGAAAACAAAAAATTGTATGGTTACACTTTAAGAGATAAGAGATAAGAGGAAACGAATAAGCCCTAAGTATTTTGTAAGCCCACTTACTAACCCAAAAAATGCTATTGTCTAGCATCTAAAACAACACAAGATTGATTAAAATCAGTTTTAAATGATTTATACAATTAATACTCATATTTGAACATATAAAAAATGTTAGAAGAATAATGTAAATAAGTTAGAGTGGAACTTATCGGTAAATGCTTTCCAAATCAAATGTCATCAATGTTGAACTATGAAGACAAAATAGAGAATTGTAGAGAAGGGAGGGCTGAGTCGTGCCACTTGATCACGATCCTTCATAGACCACTGGTATACGTGCACTCGCTTACAGACCTCCGTGAATCATTGGTAGATGTGCCTGTGCCTTGACCAAGCTCGGCCCAACTCAGCTCAGCACGCGCATGTGTGAAAAGCACCCCCAACCCCCTCACATGATGTAAAGACATATAGCTCTCCCCCTACGAATCCCTACCCATAGGGAGAGCAATTCTAGTAATATACTCAAAGCCAACTATTTTCCCAAACAATGTGGGACAAAAGTCTCCTACATGCAAGAGGATGGAAAGAGAGAAAAGCCAAAACAAAAACAAAAGGGAGGGATAGAGGAGATTTTTAAAATTTTGAATCTTCCTTCAACAATCCCCTACAAGATTCAAAATTACAAGAAAATCGGGCACTTGAGCATTGCGGTGAGAAAAGTATTCATGGTGATGTCTTTTGGACTTCAATCAATACTTAGGTATGACAAATTATGTTACAGAGTACGGGTAGAGTCAGACTCCTTCAACCTTTCCCCTTTGATGTAACTAGATAACTTTCCAACCAACTCAACTCACCTTTCCTTAGTGGTTCTTTTTGTTTTGGAACATTTTGACCTTGTTCCCCTTCTTGGAATCATTAGTATTTTAGAAAGTCATCCCTTAGAGCTCTCATAAAAGTGGTCAAACTTCACACTCGCTTAGATTTGTTATTTAGCATATACTATACACACTATTCTTAACCGATTAAGAGTTTTACACTCATCCCCCTCATTCTGTAGTGAGAACTATCTTACTTTGGCATTTATAATGGGGCACAATTTGATAGTACTTTTCCAAGTCATCTAGCGATTCGTTTTTATCCATCAAACCTAATTCTAGGGATTTCTTTTCACATAGGTTGGGCATTCATCACTAATTACTTATGTGACGGGCTTCTACCCCATTCATACCGATGCCTCATAAACAATTTTAGAAGTTTGTGGTTTGGTTAACAAATCTGCAAAATTCTTTTTAGACCTTATAAAATCTAGTGTGATTGTTCCTTCGTTGAGGCATTATCTTACCAAGTTGTGCTTCAGGTAGATGTACCTTCTTTTACCATTATATGTTTTATTCTTAGCTCTGGATATTGCTGTTTGACTATCACAATGGAAAGATATAAATAGAACAAGTCGTAGCCAAAGTGGTATATCCACCAATAAGTTCCTTAGCCACTCTACCTCGGACCTTGTCAATTCTAATGCAATAAATTTGGCCTCCATTATTGAAGTTGTGTTATAGAACCGCTTTACTGATCTCTAAGAAACTGCCTCACTTCTTAGTGTAAAGACATACCCACTAGTGGAAGTACTACCCTTTAAATCTAAAATCTAATTCACATCAATAAAGCCTTCTAAAATAGGGGGAAAACTTGAATAATGCAAACCAAAATTTATAGTTCATTTTAAATATTTTAATAACCATAGTAGAGTTTCCCAATGTTCATTCCCGGGATTACAAGTATGTTGACTTAAATTTTTCAACTACTATTGTTATATCTAGTCTTCTACAATTCATTAAATAAGACACAGATCCAATTATACTTGCATACTCCTTTTGTGAAACAAATTCTCCTATATGTTTTTCTTAAGTGGATAATACAGTCAAGTAGTGTTTTAATTGGTTTACAGTCAAAGTGTCCAAACTTCCTAAGTATAGTTTCCACATAATGTTTGAATTTGGACATTAAGAACTATTTTGTTTTTTCATTACCTCTATACTTGTTCCCATTATTAATATATCATCAACATACAAACAGATCATGACTCTATCATTAACAAACTTGCTATGGACACATCTGTCGGAATCATTTATGTTATACCCATTTGTTATTAATACATTATCAAACTTTTCATGCCATTGTTCGGGAGCTTGTTTTAAGTCATACAAGGACTTTATTAGTGTATATACTTTGTTCCCTTGTCCTAGCACTACAAAACCTTCAAGTTGCCTAATCTATATTTCTTCATTTAATTCTCCATTTAGGAAAGTTTGTTTTTATGTCCATTTGATGAACTACTACTTTGTAAATAGATGTTATAGCAAACAAGACTCTAATTGTAATTAACCTTGCAACCGGGGAATATGTGAATATCCACTTACAATTTAGTGCCTTAGTTCCAGGTGGGAGATCTACAAGTTTCCAAGTGTGATTAGTGTCTAAAGAGTTTATTTCACTTTTTATGACTTCTTTCCAGAATATTGCATCAGGGGAGGTTATGGCTTCCTAATAGGTTATTAGGTCTTTGTCCACTAGAAATGTGGATATTCCATCATTCAAGTTTGTTTCTTTTCTTTGTCTTTTACTTCTCCTTAAGTCTGGTTCATAATTATTAGAATCATTGTTTCCTTTATTAAATAGAGTACTGATTTCTTAAACATTCAACTCTTGTTCTTGGTTTCTGTTATGGACTTGAAGAAGTTCCTTATTGATTGTTTATTTTCTCTATAGAAAAATATGCTCAAAGAATTCTACATCTCAGGACTCAATTATTATGTTGGATTTTAAAACATTATCAATAGTTTTAATTACAATGAACCAATAAGCTGCACTGTTTTGCACGTATCCAATGAACACACAATCAAAGGTTTTCGGTCCCAATTTCTTTTTTTTAGGTTCAGGTATTCTAACATTTACTAAGCAACCCCAAACTTTTAAGTAATTTAAATTGGATTTCCTGTTATGCCAAAGTTTAAAAGGTATTTATCCTTT